TTTAAAAATTAATGCATCTTTATGTAATTTTGATAAAAATTTAAAAGATAAGGATATTTTATCAAAAAAAATTATGGAAATTTGTATTATGATGGAGTAACCATTTCGTGAATTGTTTTTCATGATATTACGATTTATCATGTCAAATTTCTAACTCCAGTTTCTCTCTAACAATAAGTACCATTTTTATTTGATTTATGACACATGAACGTATTGTGTAGTGGTCAATTTATCAAAAATTAAGTGAAAGTTACATTTACTTGTCATAATTATTTCCTGTTGTTCTTTCTCCTTCAAAGGTTTGTAATTTGTCTGGAATAGTGAAAGGGGTAGTTAAAGTATCTGTTGATGTAGACATTGCTAATTAATGATATTTATTTGGTTGGTGAAGGTATTAATAAGAGGGACCACTTAGAAAATGGTACTGCTGAAGATATGCACCAAGTGGTAGCTTTTAACTGTGTGGCTTATTGAAATTGGTGGTGATACTTTGTCATTGTTCTTATGATCATGTTCGCATGACAATGCGCCATTATAGCTTAACCAAAAGCAATTTGAAGCTCTTAAAACATTATAGGGATCGAAAGTCTCGCCAATAATTAAAATGTTCTGAATCCCTGTTGTTCAAAGCTACTCTCTTCTTGTATTAGTTTTATGCATGCTTTCATGGCTGGCTGTAATGTTTTTATGGAGTTGTTGCTCCTGTTTTTTTGCATCAAAGCCTAGAAACATTGATATCGCAATGTATGATAGCATGCCTTAAAAGGCCAGGAATGTTAATGTTCTTAATATAATCTTCCCAATCAATGCATTTGGGATCAAAGTTAAATGCATTCACATCCGCGATGCATTCTCTTGCTGCAATTTGCAACTTTTCTGCAGTTGTATCATCCGATCTGTTTCGAAAATTTATCTATTTAATGATAAAAAAAGAGAATGTTAATAATAAATTTCCTAATATAAGGACAGAAAACAATATGTATAAACACTTGCATGCCATTAAAGAACACAAATGTTCATAAAGTTCTTGCATTCTTCTCATTGATTTCGTTTTCCAAAAAAATCTATATACTTAAGTTTCTCCATAATTCAAAGGTAATCCCCTCAAATTAAAACAATAAGGAATTTAGAAGGAAAAGCTAGAGAGATACTACAACAAATTTGACTTAAAACAACATATTTTTAAAATGTGTTATTAAAAATATTTTTAATAACACCTTTTTTTTTTATGTTTTTCGAAACATTTTCTAAATTTAACTTCACTATATAAATTTTTAAATGCATTATGAATAAAATGTAATGATAGAAATTATATATACTAATAAGGGTTGCATTTTTATATATTGCTACTAAATGTGAAAAAAAATGACGTTAAAAGTTTAAATAGGTGCACTTTTTAAAATTTTACTATAAAAATAATATATCACTTAAAGAAGTGTGATTAAAATTCAATTTTTTGTAGTGAGATCTAGAGAATAAGATGTACATTTTATGCCCCTAGTTGTTTCATGTTTAATTTTCACATTTACAATGATTTATTTTATAGCTTAGTGCTTGGTAATAAAATGTTAATCTCATTATTTTTTTAATAAAAGCATAAGATCATTATTGACAAATAAAAAGATTTAAAATCTCTTTATCATCATCTTTTTTTAAAATGACCAAAAAATCACTATAGAATATCAGCTTCTAAACGAATATTGCCTAATAGTTATATTTTACATTATTGTTAAAATAATTTCGTTCGACTTCTCTAAAGCAATTGGCTGCAAGGATGTATATCGTTGCAACGTCTTTGCACTTGAAACTTTTTTTTATCTAAGTGGTAGTTACAAAGACAGTGATGCGGGTTGTGATACACTTTTCTCACTGCATTCTTAATATGAAAATGCTGATTAGAAATAAACATTGTATTTTCAGGACAACCAATCGCGCGATGCAATTAGGTAAGAAACCACAACCACAACTCTTTGTCCTCATCATGGCTAATGCCAAATGCAATCAGATGGAAATCCTCATTCACTTCTTTACAGACAGCAATGAACAGAATACCCTTGAATTTACTTTTGAAATGTGTGGCATTGATAGTAACTATAGGCCGTATTACAGCCTTAAACCCCTAGATACATGCCCCGTACACCCAAAAAAAAATTTTGAATTGTTGTGCCTGATCGATAGCCACAACTATGATTATATCGGGATTTTCACATTTCAACATATGGAAATATGAGACTAAGAGTTGGAATGACTCTTTCGGGGGATCGAAAATAAGACTTTTTACCTATTCCTTTGCTTGCCAAGCCTTACCATACAAACATTGCAATCCTTACTTGCGATTCATCTCTTCCATTATTTCCTTAGGTCTTAATGGTGTTATATTATTTCCTTGCAGCCTAGGAGACATAAACTCACTAATTAACCTTGTGCACGTTGTTCGGTACCCACCTTGCAAACCATCAATAGTACCTTATGGAATGTGTGAACTTGCTAGTAATCTCCGTCAAGTAACTTTGTTGCATGCACAGTGAACTTTCATGCCTTGTCTTCACAAGTAACCTCAAAATAAGTGTGACATAATTTTTAACTCTAATCTCGAAATGCTATTTTAGCGCCAATATGTTTAAAACTCATTTCAATTTGGCCTTGGAAGAAAACACTTTTCCTCGGTGTAAGTGATCATCACTTGATCTGGACTTCTCTATGGCAACTGTTTAGAAGGAGATCATATCTGCACCCGGAATAATCTATTGATGAGATACCCTTGCATTTACCCTTTCTTGATCACTATCATTAGACGAACAAATCTTGTTGTCACTAGAGATGGTGTCGTTGTAAATAGGGTCTCGCATTTAACATCTTCTAGGACAACAATTGTCGCATTTAAACAATCATCATGCCTTCCAAGATAATCGTCATCATTCCAATCAGAAGTGTCATCCTCTACATAATCATCGTTCATTTGATCAAATGCATTGTCATTACTCACGACTGTCGTAGTGTCGTTTGAGAATGGCAATGGACCCACTAAAACCATAGGCGACTCTTACATTTGTTAGCAAGAACAAAGTATTTGGTTCGATGCACATTTTGATAGGAATTGTGCAGATAGCATTTGCAGACACCTCATGTGTGCACCGAGCTACTCAAACTCATGTGCGTATGTCGATGGTGATTGTTATTGTTGTCGATTAGGGACTACATGATATGGTATGTTTGAAGTGGCATAAATCTGATTTAGTTGATTATTATGTTGGACAACTTGTTCATGTGGCATAACATTTGTATGTCTTCCTTAACGGTCACAAACACTACAACTACCTTTTCATCTTACAGTATATTTTCTAAATCTTTATCGTCTCTGATAACTGGGTGTGAAACCTTTACGGCATGACTCAACAATGCATGTAGCTCGATTTCCTGATTTTATAAGTTTACCCTAACAATATTTTCAACTAACTTCATCAAGCCCAAAAACTACAAATCACTCCTAACATCCCTCACTCATATCTCACCACCTTTGTAAGTGTCATTGATCTAATGACAACCATATGTAATCATAAACTTCACATTTAACACGCTGTTGAAATTTAATAGAAACTAAGTGTCACAATCAATCAATTGATAAAAAACGTGTCATGCAATGCCTAAAAATCAATAACAAAATACCTAAAACCAATCATGTAATACCTATGTTTCACAGATGCAATGCCTAAAAGCCAATCAAGCAATACTTAATAACTAATTGATTTACCTACTAGCAAGCAAGTTTAAGTTGCCAAAGTCATACAGTGTTCTAATTTATAGATATATCTAACCAATTTTAACTTCTCAACTTTGAGATTTTATTCTATGAATATAAACTGATAAAACCCAAAAACCCAAAAACCCAAAACACATACCTTGATGTCATATTTGCTCTTTAGAGGGTGAGATATACAGTATTCGGCAAAAGAGAGAAATGAGAATTTACTTTTGGACTTTTTGTCTGGATGCCGAGATAGAGGAAACCGAAACTATTTAATTGTCTAAAATTGTTTAAAGGGCATTGTTATCAAATTATGTCAAAATTTGAATAAAAATAATTAAAATTATAATAAAAAATATTTTGAAATTAGATTTATGAAGAGGATTATTTCTCACATTTTTTTAAAAAAAATGCTGGTTTGACAACCTCTAGTGTATGGTTGCCTAAAGTTTGATGTTGACGGAACTTCTCATACATGACAGGGGAATCCAAGATTGATGGAGCGCTGAGGGATGAACAAGGTTGTGTAAAAATTCTATTTTCCAAGTCCATAGGGATTGGAGACGCTAACAGGGCAGAATTACTTGCAACCAAGGAGGCTTTCTCCCTATTTGTAGCATCTAGGTGGAGTCAAACCCATGGCATTGTTGTTGATCGGATACTGCCAATGCCGTGTTGTGGAGCAATAGACCAGAACAGAGCCCCTAGTGGCTGAGAGGAATTAATGAGCTTCAACAACAATATTAAAAGAAGGGTACAGAAGTGGTCTGTAGTGTACACTCCCCAGTCGGCTAACTTCCTTGCGGATCGTTTGGCTAAGGCTGGTGTGCAGAAGGCTAATGAGCTTCTGGTGGTGTACAGCCAGCTGTCTAACTGAGCTTCTGGAATTATGGTGGATGTGGGATGGTTGTTGGTTTGTATGGCCCCTGTTTTGTATCAGATTTTTGATCTCTTACAGCAGGGATATGTTGTGAAATGGCGTGGTGCTGCTGAAATTTTTTGTTTTGTTGCGATTGGGACCTGTCTAGACCATTTTATCAATTGTACAGGGGAGGGATTTTGTGGATAATTGTGAAACAAAATGTACTGGTGTCTGAGGCAGGATAGTCCAATTTTGGACTTTTTTTCATCTGATATTCGTGGAGAGAAAAGTTACACCATTCTTGGTGTAGAATTTCTTCCTTTTTGATGAATAAAATGATGCTGTTTCAAAAAAAAGAAAAAGAAAAAAAGAGGATATTATAACAAACGAAAAGGAACAAATTTCTATTCGTGATTCCACAAAGCTGAACATATATTTGTTCCAACAGCATTTCATATTCGTGAGGACAATATATAGTTGAAAGACACTATGATCAAATACACTTCGAAGATATTCTTAAACACTATTGTTGACGGCCATATAAATGCTTCATGCTGCCATGAATAAAGTAACACCAATTAAATTAGAACACATTTTCTGAAATAAATTTAAAGCATGAATTCTTGGAAGCACAACCCCTGTAATATTAGCTTTTCCTTGTTTGTTATCATTTGCAGATGTATTTTACGATGCCAGGAATATGAATATTCATGAAGTAATCATCCCAATCAAGGCATTTGGGGTCGAAGTAGAACATATCTTTCTCCACCATGCTCGATCTAGCCGCCATTCTTAACTTCTCGGTGTTTATATCATCAAAGCTGTAGCCAAGAGAAACATAGTTTTATGTCAAATGAATGTTACGTTTTTGTAACATTGATAGCCTATAATTTTACAGATTTCAACATAAAAATTTAGAAGACATACATGGCATCGAAGAACAAGTATGGCTTGTAAATGTCGACCAATCGCATGACAAAGTTGATCTTCCGATTGAGATCGCTGTAAACACCCTGAAAGAACTGGCAAAATGCTGTATTTGCTAATTCCAGTCCCTGTACAAGAAAAGAGAATGAATTCAACTTCATTAAAGAAACAACTGGAGGACGTGCTTTAAATTAAGTTTAAACAAGCCCTTCAGACCTTCAAAAGTAGCAAGTATCGAATTGCCATATATCTGTGGAAGCTGTCCATGCTGTTCATAACTTTAACCTTGCCAACTATTACAGGCTTTCCATCCTTGTTGATCCAAGGTTTCTTGGAAAAGTAACGGAAGCCATAGTCTTGAAGATTGTAATATCTCAGAGGGTTTCTTATAGATGAACCAACTTGATAAATGGTCTCGGATGGTTGACATGATGCATGAGCTACCATAGCTACAATCATGGCATTCACCACCATATCAGCTGGTATCTGCAAAAATAACCTTCTAATTAAAATTTTCATTCTTGGAAAGAAATATAATCATATAACTGGTAGAACAATGTCTCATGGGATATATTAGCATAGTGGACCTGTTACTATATTCTACTAATTGATTGATTCTGAACCGGAGACTTGGCAAATGCTTGTACCAGATACAAGCCAAGTAAGAAAAATGGAGGATAATTCTGAACTCACCACATCAACTATTGACTCTAAATCTCCAAGGAAGAATGTCAATTTTCCTTTAGCATAACCAACTGCAAGGCTATCGATGGTTCTATATCCACAAAGTAGAATTATTTGTCAAGAAAATTACAAGAGAAAAATGCGGGGCAAAAAGCTTAAAAATTTCCAGTACATATTTTTTTTTCCATTTTTTTCAATTATTCAGAACATCATTAGCACTTTGCCAAATACGTTTTCAAACGTTGATCCTACTTTTTTACCCTGATAATCAAATTACTTAAGAGTACCTGACTCCTTCAGCCCAACCAGGGAATGGCTCTTTGTAAGTGCTAGTTATGATGGTAGGCCGTATGATGACTGTGGGCATATTTCCTTTCATGTACCCAACTAACATTTCTCCCATTGTCTTTGTAAATACATAAGTGTTTGGCCAGCCATACATCCTTGCCCTGATTTATCATTAGAAATGATTTAACTCAATTGTTAGAATTTAACCTTGGAATGATCTAACTTCTAAATATGGAAAATTATAACAAATACATGCATATTTGTAGCATTATCTATATACACGTAACAGTCAAAACCTCAAGGTATTATATTTATTCTTAATAAGTTTAAGATTGGATGATATTTTCAAAAATAGTAAAATATTTATAAAGGAACATTCATATGCTTAAATTTTAATTTGAAAGTTACGATTCACACTCTGAAGTAAATAAAAACAAAGGGGGTGGGGGGCGACTATCTCCATTAGCTTGTCCAAGTCTCAATAAATATTTATATTTTTCAAAAAAGAAAAAAGCATAGCAAGTGGATCCAATATGAATATTCCTTTTTATTAAAGATGAATGTTTTTTATTTAAACAAGCTCAATTTTGATAAAAATGGTCCAAAGCATAAAAACCCAAGAAATTTGTAGCAAATGGCTTGCATCTTAGATATTGGATAACATCAGCACATGACTCAACGTCTTAAAATTTTCTTAATGGAATGGGTGAGGCATGGACCTTAAGGATAGCCGACATATCAAAACTATCTACATAAAAGATTCTTCTGGTTTTCAATTAACTGCCATTGCCAGCTAGAAAATATTACTGCAAGAAGATCCCTACTATTTTTTGCAGAAAGGAGTTATCACAAGTTCCCCGAATCAAATCATCAGGATCTTGCCAAAAGTAAGGGAAAACAAAATTCTATCTATAATATATAAAAATAAAATTCATACTTGAAGGAGGAATGTTCGGGTCAACCATCAAAGTTTACTAAGATTTGTTGGCAACAAGTTTGAGTTGACAAGAATGCCTAGTCAACAATTTTTATGATGTTTTTGGTGGGTCTATCACTAGACCTTAATTAAATGAAAATATTGAAGAATTTGTTCTGCAAATCAGTTTCTGTCATCAAGTCAGTCAATCCAAGTCAAAAAGTATAAGTCTCAATCAATTTATGACTTGTGTTTGCTTTCTTTCGGCAAATTGTAAAGTTTAACCTACTCAATTAATTTACTCTGCACACTCATGAATAACAATGCCCTTCCTTTCATTTAATCAATTGGGCGGCTGGGTTGGTTTGTGTTTGGTGGAGATTCCACCAAGTTATAAATGTGTTCGTCAATGTGTTGCTTCAGGTCTCTTCCCGTTATGTTTTAGTTTTGAGCGTGGGCTTCATACTATATTCTATATATGCTTTAATTCATTTGAGCCACCATAATTTATGTTTTAATTCATTTGATTTTTGGCTAACATGATAACATAATAGATATACCATAACTTTGTAAATTCATATAAAATTTATTTATTTTTTCATTTCCTCATGATTATTCATCTAAGATAAATCCTATTATGTTCTTGAAAATTAGCTGCAAATATGGTTAAGATTGCTTCCAATTACTAATTAATGTTTCAAATTTCAATTAGGCTTTTCACAAGTTATGATTTTGCGACACTTAATCCAAATCACAACAATTTTTATTAGTTTTGACATTCTTTTCTTCTTTCTTTGTTTTTTTTTTTTTTTTTTTTTTAAGGATCTTATGTTACTAGCACATTTGTGTGATGATAACCTAAAACCTTGGATAAAATAAATATGAATGATGCGACCCTTTTTTTTTAGTTTGCTGGTACATAAGTTTTATACTAAATATATAGCCTACGGTGGGTGCACCAGTCTCATTCTTTTATTTCATATGAAAAAGGAAATATTTGAACATAAAATTACATATATTTACCACTAAGTCAAATATCCAGAGACACCCATTTCATTATTATCATGTCAGGCTTGGCTAAGAGAATCTTATCCTCTTTATACAATGAAAATTTCATGTCAGTGACACAACATTATAATTGGCGGGACAAACATTACCAATATTTCAACCTAAGGTATAGTTGCGTGAGAATTTAAGAAAGACAAAAAAAAAAAAAAAAAGAATCTTGATAAGTTGATACATTTATTTGTAGTAATTATAACTTTATTAAAACGTGATGCATTAAAGTTCTGATAATTAAGAAGCCGGCATCGGAAGACATATATGAATCGAGATAGCCTAGCTATAAATTACCTTGAATCTTTCTCAGAGAGTTCACAACTATAGGCTATATAATACCATGAATCTATGTAAGAGATTTCACAATTATAGTCGCAACTACTTTCTCAAAGTGGGTTGAGTCTTTTAACTTACTGGCACCAGCAACCCAGGCCGGTCCCATAATATGAATGCATATGTAGATATTGCACATGCATTTGCTTACCCAAGTTTGACCACTTTAAGCTGAAATTTTTAAGGTAAAAATGAAGATGAAAATAGTAGTATTTACTAATTAATAAGTTCTTATTAACTTAATATTTTTATAAAGATCAAAAAGTTACACCAAAATATTTGATTCAGTAATTAAATTTTTCCTTTCTCAAATTAAAAAGTTTTAAGAATTAGACTTTCACGAACCTCTCAATGCCCAAATCTTTCATGGCTTGAGTAATTTCCTTCTCCGAAGCTCCTTGCGATCTTAGTTCCTCCATTTTTTCCTCTACCACTTTCTTCTCAACGTTAATGTCTAAGCCAGAGACACCATTGAGTGTTTCTCCCATGTTGTATGAGTTTTCTAGTATAAGCCCTGACCTTTCCCCTGACACATAAGCTGTAAAAAAGAAAAATAATTTAGTAAACATTATCATTACATCACGTACTAAAATAGAAGGGGAAGACTTTTCAGCACTTCGATCCCTACTTTGATATCTGTAATATACTTAATTAAACAAAATATAAATATTAGGTGGAAAAGGAAGAGAAAATCATTGTCTTCACCAACCTGTAGATACATGAACAAGCACTTTTAGTTTGACACACTTCTTGGCGAAGTTTAGAACAAATTTAGCTCCCAATGTGTTGAGGCCAAGGGCCACATCATATCTACATTGAAGAAAAACCTCAAAAAAGGTTACATACCAGATTATATTGTGTTATCTAAATTATTGATATTGCAAAATTGGTTTGTTATTAATTAATTAATTCTATTGTACCTTTCATCAAAGTTGGTGGTTGCAGCAAGGTTAACCACAACATCCACTTCCCTGCACATCTCTTGTACCAAATTGGAATCTTCCACACCCAAATCCTCACGAGAGATGTCTCCAGGGATAAGAGTAATTTTTTCTGATATAAATGAACTGAAATTTTTGCCATGTTTTTCTTTCAGAACTTTGAACAGGTCCTTCCCTATGATCTGTTTAAAAAAAAAAAAAGTCACCACATTAAAGGGGAATGCCTGAGGCACTGCGCTGAGTAACAAGATCATCAGCTATTCATACAAAAAACCGGAACTCATCAGCTAAAAGCAGGAAATAACTTTTCTGCTCCAAATGGAAAGACCAGAAAAGAAAGTTTTGGAAAGTCAAGAAAAGACAATCACTGCTGCAATGACTAGAGCCATCTTTTCTAAAGCACACACCTCATTGTGCAAACGGTGTATTGCAGATTTGTGGTCTGCAGCTCTTAAAAGAAGATATAACTTCTTCACATTGGGTTGAACTCTTAGTATTTTCTCCACAAAAACTGCATTCAAAGAAGCAAATTGAATACGAATATGCCTTACTTCATTCGCTGAGAGAGAGGAACAGAAAAAGGGGAGATGATACGTACTCTTTGCCAAAAACCCAGTGGCACCAGTGACTAAAATGGACTTGCTATCAAGAAACTGGAGAGCACTTCCTAGTTCCATTGGAAGGACAGTGGGAGAGAGAAACGAACAAAAAATGATATGATATAGCACTTACTTATAAGCGAGGCTAAAGACACAATTGCCTTAAAGGAAATCTGATGGCCTGCCCCTTTTATATTTTCCATGAGGGAGAAGGTACAGAGTGCAATTATGGGGTTGGAGTGCACGCAAGTGGTTGGGCGATAATTTCCCCTGGTGCTAAATTAATATTTTGAGGTTGCCCCATATTACTATATACCATTATAAAAATATAAGAGTAAGAAAACACACTCCATTATTTAACTCCTTTTTTAATAGCAAGAAAACTCCAACAGTTAGAACTTAAGGCTTTAACTATGTATGTGGTAATTACCCTATGTATGTGGTAAAATCTGCTTTAATTGTTTTTCTTTTGTCTTGCAGGTCTCCTACTTGATCACCACTGTTGAAAGTTTATGATAGTTTTTGGTCTTAATATTAGAGATCTCTCAAATTCAAACTATGGAATGGAAGGAGAAGAATTTACAGATGGCCAAAGAGAGTTATATAATAAATCTTCTACTAATATTTCTTTTGTTTAACACTTGGGTGAGGAGGTGACCTACAAAAACTACTATACAACTAGGAAATGTGAAGCTGACCATAAAATTGGAAACGAAGATCATGTTGTTGGATGAAGCTGACCTACCTTCTGTGGATTTTTACACTTCCGTGTTATTATGTCCATATTTTTCTAATATTCTTGATGACATAAATTGTTTTCTCATGTTAATTTTGATTTTATTTTGTTCTCCCCTAACATTACTGATAGGAAAAAGAATATGTTAATAAACAGTCAAAATTTTACATAAAAAATTATTAAAGAATAATCATATAAAAGTAACGAAATTATGTATATCAAATTTTATACTTATAATAATAAAACATTAAAAACCACCCCATCGCCAGTTTTGATCAACCTTACTCATAAGTCTGCAGTGATTTTGGAGGGCAATGTGAAAGGGCTCAAATCTCAGTAATTAAAACCTAATTAAGCACCTCAGCAATTTTTCTTGAAATTGATCTTGATGATATAACTTTTGAAAATTCACACAACTGGAATGGTGGTTTGACTTCTGAAAATGCTAGGAGGAGAAAAACATGTATCCTTTTTCTTTGCAAGACGAAACATGTATCCTTGCCCACAAAGGTGGGGTTCAGGGGGACCTAATGGCTTCCCGTCCCTCAACAATTTTAAAATTTTTATACTTTATTTTATTTTTTAAAATTTTATAATTTATTCTTATAAAGTTTTTAAAAAATTAACATATTTTTATATTTTTATAATTTTATAATTTTATTCCTATAATAATTTTTATTTGGTGAGATGTTCTACAATAATTAATCAACAATTGGTTTTAATAGGTTCACTCTTGTAAGAATTGGATTTCAAATTTAATAAAAATGCAGTGAAGTTGCTCACTTTTAGCACATTGTTGGACTCTCAGAATAATTTCAAATTGTTTAATGTTGAAAATATTTAAAATCTTGAAAATAAATATTATCCTGATGACTTTATTGAGCATGATAAAATGCATCTAAGCTATCAATTAGATCTATTCAAGCTTAACATTCTTCATAATCAAGCTTTAAAAAATGTATCTACACTTTTGAATTATGTTAAGTGCTAAAAAATATAGGAATATCAAAAGTTTACTTTATTGTTGACAAATTGATCCAGCTTGCTTTTGGCTCTTCCAGTTTTACAGCAACATCAAAACGTGCATTTTTTTATTATAAAACTCATTAAGAACGAAACTCATAATAAAATATCATATGGTTTTTTTTATAAATTCATTGATTATTCTCATTGAAAAGGAAATCATTTGAGATTTTGATATTGATTCAATGATAGATGTTTTCAACTCTATGAAAAATCGTTGAGCTTAATTAAAAATTCTCAATCTTAGCATGCAACAATTGTTAAAAAATATCTTTATTTTGTACTTAATACGTAATTGGAGTTATTTAGGTAATTTTTACATGAACTTTTGCCATTTAAATTACTTTATATTTTTATCAAACAATAAACTTTTAGAATGATTGTTTTATAGAAATTGTCTTTGCCCCCCAAATGCAAAATATTGGCTCTGCCACTACTTGCCCATACATATTGTTAGCACTTAGTTGGTGTTGTACCTTATCATCAATTAATAGAAATATTATGCATGCATACATATGCATATATATGTATATATATATTCACAATTAATTATATTTTGGATTTTTATATTTTTCCATTTTTTACACAATTATAATAGTCTCTTCACTTGTGCCATGGTTAACCTCCTTCTATTAAAGAAAATTCACATTGATGCTCGGTTGAATATGTATACATATAGTTATTTTCTTGGATATAATAATGGTAGATCTCATATCCAAGCAAAAAATATACTTACCATTGATCATTTTGTATGTTAGTTAATTTATATAGCTTCATCATCTCATATTTTTATCATCTTAGACCAAATCCCAATATTTAAGTGAATGAACTAAATCATCTTGTTACAAGTTATGGCCTCCCTCTCCTTGTCCCCCTCCCTTCTCTCTCTCTATCTCTCTCTCTCTCTCTCTCTCTCTCTCTCTCTCTCTCTCTCTCTCTCTCTCTCTCTCTCCATATATTTTTTTTATATTTTTTGAATTTTTTCTATTTTTTGGACCTTTATAATTCAAAACTTTTAAAAATTAAAAATTCAAATTAAAAAAATAAATTACATGACTTTTTAGACATGGGACACATTCTAATTGAATATGTTTTGACATGTTAAACATTTTGACTAACGAAATTAGTCAAAGGTACAATTAAGGGAGGTGTTAACCAACTTTTATTGGAGGGGTCAAAGACAAAAAGAAATAATGGTTAAAATTTTTAAAACTAATATGTTGAACTTAATTAACAATTAAAAGATTCAGAATAGATAATAATTTTGTATAAGATGTAAATCAAACGAAACAAGAAAAGAAAGACTTATAATAGTCCTTCCTCGACAATGTTTCTTAGATTTAAATTCATCAATTATTGACTCTGTACTGAAAAGACTAACAATGTCTTTCTCAATATAAACAACTAAATTATCTACAAAAAACTTATCAATTATTTTGTTTTAGAGTCTTATTTTCACAATTTTCATTACTGAAAAGGTTCTCTTTGTAGTTGCTATTAAAACCGGAAAAATCAAAACAAGGTGAATTGATCTATCAAATAAGATTAATGAAAAAAATGATACATTGATGAAATTTTAAGCAACAGCCAACAATGCAATACCACAACTTATAGTTCAAAATTACATAATAATTTTTTAATTTTTAAAAACTAAAATCATAGAAAATAAAATCCACATGATAGAAAGAAGAAGAACATGGTGAGTAAAAAATAAAACCCACATAACAAAAAAAGAAACAAGAAGAACATGGTTGATGGTTCCTAAAAATTTAGAGAAGAAAATCTAATGAAACTTAGAACAAATAGAATAGAAATGAAAAAAAAAATAATAACAATAATACTGATAATAATAAAAAAACTTTACCTCTTCTTAATTTCACACAATGGTGGTGAGTGATGCTGACAAGCTCATAAATCTCTATTAAAAATGAAGTGTGTTTCGATGGTGACCTATAGGAAAAAGAGTAAAATAAAAATAAAAAGACAAAATAGAAGAGAAAGAGAAAAACGAAAAGAGCTACTATAAAGTTAAGTAAGGTTTGTGGGGTCATTTAATTATTATTTATTTATATTAATTATTAAATAAAATTTATTTTAAGGAGTATTAAAAATATATAATAAATAATTTAAAAAATTTTGAGAGGGCCATAGCCTTTCATGATTAAGCTACCATCTGGCCCTAGGTACAAACTGATGAATGAAACTATAATTCGAATATCAAATTATGAATTTTACTTCTTCAAATACCCAACTGATTTTTTTAAAACAATATTACCAAATGTGTAATTTAATAACATTTTTTATTTCATCAATTTTTAAGACACTTTCACTAGGATCATTGGTGAGTGGTGTGAGACTACCCAAGTTGTTTTTCTAATTGCAATAAAAAAAGAAAAATAAGGTTTTTTTAAGACAAAAGTTTTAAAAACACCTATATATATTTTTAATTCTCTCAACTAAATTATAAAAAAATTTAAAAAAACTATAAATTTGATTTTAGATGGTTATAATGAAGTGACTTGTAATTAGTCTTTAGTTTAGCTTAAGCCTTGAAGTGTTCAAACTTGAACAATTTTCCATTAAATTTTGGAGGTTAAAAAGTATGGTGACACGATGTAGGGAAAGGTGTATGACAATTAAGTTGACGGTTCGAATCACTGTGAGAAGGGCTATTTTAAAAGGAAGTGTCATTTCAATCGATGGTAGACAAATCTTTATCGATAGGGCGATATCTAAGAAACAAGAAAGCTTTGGGCTTTTTACAAAATCAGAGGACAATGGCTCTGACTGCAAGTCCTACCAAGAAATTCTGATGCAAAAGCGAAAGGATGCTACAAATGGGTATAGGAAATCTAATGATGGTCGAAAAATCAGATCTAGGAATTTAGTGAGAAGTAAAAGCAATAACCCATGGGCGATTACTATTGCAATTCATGACAAAGAAGTGGAATGGGTTAGAAGGTGCTCTATAGCAACTTTGAAGGACATCTAACTACTCAAACTCATCAAACAAAGTTACTGTATAAAGGTTTGCCAATGGATATTCGACTTCTTTGTCACTTAAAGGCAATCATCAATTTTTGGGATGCTGAAGAAGAGAAAGTATGCCTTGAAAACTTTACTGATGTCTTTGCTACCTAATTTGAGTCCATTACTCATTACCCACTGATTATTAAGAGAGGCTACAAACCTACATGGGTAAGAATTGAAAATATCCCCATTCATCTATGGCACAAGATAACCTTCAAGAATATAGGGTGTCTTTAAGCGAAAGTCATCAAGGTAAGCAGCGTTACTTGTAATATGGAGCACTTTGATTTTGCTAGAGTCTTCACATTGCTAAACAAAAGGGTGATTATCTCAAAATGGAAAGAGATTGTGTTAAATGGGAGTCGAG